ACCTGCTGCGGAGGGCCAGTGGCCGAAAGGCCCTGATCGTCGATATAGACGTCCAAGTCAAGCGAAGGCTGAGGCTGCAAACAATCATGCCCTTCCATGCCGCGCACGCGCATAAACGCGGTGGCAAAGAAAACACCCCGCCACAACGCCTCGCTGCACAAAGTAAGGACCCTCGACCCAGCCTCCCAAGCAAAGAAAGCGACCGCAACGATAAGAAAAAAGGGCAACTCTGGCCAGCGCAGTCGGAAAGCCATGGCACTCACAGCGATACTCGAGAGCATCGAGCGACATATTCTCGTAGAATTTCCGAAGATCGAAAAATATGCTGCAAGAGGCCTGGCCGCGAGCTACGCCCGCTTCAGACTGCGCGGATTGACGCCAGACCACTTCCGCTGCTCCACGATGGCGTCCAGCGGCCCAGTGCCCCCTAGGATGTTGCTGGTCCCAATGCAAGGCCATGGGGCGCCTGAGGCGACCCCATGCCCTGCGCCATGAGCAGAACACCCCAATCGGCCTGTAGCCGCCGGAAGGCTTCGGGAGCAAAGCCAACAGGGCCACCGAGGTCTGAGGCGGCAAGACTCCAAGAGACTCAATCAGGGCGAACACCATGCTGAGACACTCCAGGGCCGCATCTCCGAGCAACGCAAAGTGGCGACAATGAAAACCGTCGAACGAAACAGCCGAGTCCTTCTTGTGCCGGCGAGAGACGGCGCGAATCTCTTCCGCCGAGAGCCCGGGCAATGGGTCCAGGACCTTGCCAGAAGGAGAAGCACCACTACCATTGCCCCAGAGGCTGGACAACTTGGCCCCCTCGTCTTCGAGCAAAGAAAGGGGGTCGGCAACGATGCAACCCTTGGCGCTGAAGGTCGAGGATGGGGTCCACGGGGAGGGGCCCCTAATGATTTGATGGGCGCGCTGCGATCCATTCTCAATGCCAGCGTGGAGCCGCGCTGACCAATCGGCCCTGGACAGCTTGCTAAACTGCTTGGCGGCTTCGAGAGCGGAGTCGCGCACCTCAGCTTCAAACTCCCCCAGATCTGCCACCGTCTGGCCGGGGGCGGCCGCCGCGCGAGCAGCGCGAGAAAAAAGCGCAGCACGCTCGCCAGAGCGCCGTGCTATATGAGCGGGAAGGTCCGCGATGAGACCAGCCAGCTGCTTCAGCGGACGGCGATCGCCAGCCCTGCGCGCGAGTGCAGAAGCACGCCACTGAGCCGCCAGCCACTTGACGGCGAGGCGCTCGGGATACCTGGGGTGGCCGCCGGACGAAAGGATCGACCGCCAGGCCAGCTGAGGCCCGAGCCCCCTCGTTCCGAGCTTGGGCACCTCGGCGCCCAGGATGGGGGTGAGGTCCTTCTCGGCCTGGTCGGCCCACAACTGGTAGAGCGGCCCCAGCAGGCTGTAGGCCCCTAAAAAACCCCCCTGCTCAGCCCGATCCAAAGCAGCACGAGCCACGTCCAGCGCTCGAGTCCACAAGGTCGTGGATTGCGGCGAAGGCCCGAAATCAGGCTGGGCGGGGAGGGGGGGGGGCTTCCGGAAAGTGAGGGCTTGAAGAATGGCCAGCCGGGGGTGGAATGTGAGAAGGGCGGGCCTGTGGGGGGACAGGGGCGTCGACAAATCGACTTCGCACCATTTAACGGCATTGGCCAAACCTCCGGAGCACGCGAAGAAATCAAAAATCGAAGCACCCCCCGTGGCTGGGAAGTGAGTGCAAGAAGGCGGAACAACAACACTGCCGCGCAGTTCCGAGACGAAACCAGAGTCCTCCAGGAGCGGCGGCTCAAAATTGCGGTCCGCTCCCGCAACAAAAGACAGCCCGCGCTCGTCAAGAAAGATGCCGAGACGCGACAAAATGTGAAGGTTGCGATCAGAGAGGGCTTCGGTGTGGTAAAGATACGAAGAGATGACGGCAATGGTAGGAGCGCCAGGGAGATGGATAGAGCCAGCAATGCATCTTCCCTGGACGACCCCCCCTCCCTTCATATCCCGAGGCCCGATCCAGCTACGGGCAAAAATCGCGACGCCTGCGCTGATGTCTCCTGCGTCCGTGGGCGCGGCCGCCGACCACGACGACTTCCAGCCTCGCTTGATGCGCCAAGAGCTGGCATCAGGAATCTCAGCACTAGAGAGACGATGTTCTTGGCATAAGATGACGTGGGCGTGTGAATAGCCTTCCAAAAGGTCTCTCATCGTTCCCCAAGAATTGCAGTTGACCGTCCGAATGTTCAGGGACACGCGTTTTGGATCATGCTCGAGGGAGGGGGGAGAGACAGAGCCAACGGCGCTCTGGGCCTGGCCAGCCGCACACTTACTGAGGCCAAAATCAGCTTGGCCAGCACCAGGACTGGCCTGACCATGCAATCTGGGGGCGTTGCCAAGGCGGTCCAGAAAAAACGGGGGACACAAGAAATGCCGAGCCGGCGCCTCTACCAAGAGCGATGCATGCCCAAACGCACCCCTGCTGGAAGAAGTTTGCCACGATGACGGATCTGCCAGCGGCAGCTCGTAACATGAAACCGAATGCATCCTGCAAGCGCTGTCCGCTTCTGCCAGAAAGAGCACAGGATACAAGGCAGACGGCCGAGAGAAAAATAATCAACACAAAAAAAGCATGCGTCGCCAGCCGGCGCGGCCTCAAGAGATCAGGTCAAACCAACGAAGTGGGAGAGACGACAGCATCAGCACGAGCAAGAAGCGTCGACCATCGCAGACGAGCCGTGTGACCTGAGACCTTCACTCCTGGGCCCTTGAGGAAAAAACGGCAGCCCTCGTCTGCTCCAGAGCTGAATCTGGGCCGGCGTGGGATGACAGAAAAAAACAGTGCTGGAAGAGAAATCCAAGATTTGAAATCCCCCCTGGGAAGGGGTAGCCGAAACAAAAACAGACCGAGCAAGCCAAGCTAGACCGGCCCGTCAGCTGCTCCAGGTCTCCCAGAGGGGGGCGGTTGGTCGGGCTTCGCAATGCGCTCGAGGAGGCTGGCGCTGGACGCCGCTGGCCGGCCTCAGTGGCTGGAGCAGCTGCAGGTGCAGCACCTTGGGCGGGGTCAGCACCTTCAGCGGCGACTGGGGCTCCACCTGCACCCTGGGGGCCAGCAGGAGCCGAGTCGCCAGGAAGAGCGCCAGCATCACCACGACGGCGCTTCGCAGCCAACCGCTTGTGTGGTCCGCGTGCGCCTCACGAGTGGACTCGATCTTGGCCTTCGTGTCCTTGAAAAGGGCGGCAGCCAAGGATGTGGCGCCTTCCTTGAGTTGAGCCGAGCGGGCTCGAAGCTCCTCCGTGTCGGTGGGGCTGAGCTCGTAGTCCGTCTCGATGATGTCGAAAAACGAATTTGCCGGGATGTCAAGCCACTGCTCCAGCTTGCTGCCATCAGGTATGTCATCAAGAGTGAGCCGGCGAGCTGGAGCTTCGGCATCAGCACTGGGAGCCTCGGGGCCGAAGAGTGTTGAGAATGCAAGCGACGTACAAGAACACCGTGCTCATGCTGAGCCTTCTCCAGCTCGGACTTGAGCGCTCCCACGTGCGCCCTCTGCGACTCCAGCTGCTGCGACATGGTCTCAAATTTGAGCGCGGCAGCCTCAAGTTTCTTCTCTGCCTGGCGTGCCGCAGAATGTGCACGAGACAGTTGCGCATGAAGCGGAGCAGGTGCGTGAACAGGAGGCGAAAGAGCCTGAGCTGCTGCACGAAACTGGCGAGCAGACTGCGAATCCCCCATCTTGTCGTAAAGGGTGGCCAGCTGCTGGCACTCTTCCACTGAGAGCTTCCGCTGGCCACCACCATCGCCGTTGACCATAAAAAGGCGGACAGGTGCCCTTGGCCTTTGCCGGGACCAAGAGCTCCTTGGCCGGCTCCTTTCCCTCCTCCTTTAGATGTGTTGTCGACGAACTGTCCAGGAGGAGGGAATTGGAGTGCAAAAGAAGATGTTTGTCCTTGTCCGAACCAGACGCTGCCAGCCGTACCAGGACGAGTGGAACCGCAGTGCTTGCACCGAGTGAACCAGCTCGCATTTTTCTTGCACCCGCAATTCGGACATACCCAACGATGCCCGCCAGGAGCACCATCAGGCTGAGGAGGCTGAGGCCGAGGGATGAGCGGCGGCCAAATCGATGATTGGTTGCCTCCGACATCCGATGGAACCCATGGTGCGCACGTGAAGCCCATGTGGCTAGCGCCTCCCATGAGCGACTGCTTGCCACCTGAACCCTTCTGCGCCATTCCTCCCGTGAATACATGAAAGCTCCAACAACGGTCGTTGCTGAAAGTGAAAGAGTGAGGGTTGAGGCCCTCGACCTGAGAAGATGAGCCACTTGGCCCGCAACAGCAATATGCCGTTCTGACGGATGCTGTTGCAAGCCCAAAAACTTGGGCCAGAACGGCTAAGCTTGAGCCAAAATGGCTACGGAGGAGGAGGAGGAGGAGGAGGAGGAGGTGAGGAGGAGGAGGAGGGGGAGGAGGAGGGGGAGGAGGAGTAGGAGAAGGAGGACCTCCTCCCCCTCCAACTTATGGTGGTGGTGGTGGAAAACGTACCCATCATGACCCTTTGTCTGGGGGGGGGGTGCACAACCAATATCGATGCCACCGACACGCCGCCGTGGGGGCCCTGGCCGCGTGCTGCTGCTGAAGAATACTCCAGCCGCCAGGCAAGAAACGAACGAGGAGCACGCCGACGGGCCTCCCACGGCGGCGTGCCATTGCTGCGTGCCCTCTTCTTCAGGGGAACGAACAACGACACAATCATAACAACTCGAAGGTCCGGGCGGATTTCTATGATCTGCGCTGAACCCCCCCTCCCTGGCGCGCGGAGCGCGCCAGGGGCGCGCCGGAGGCGCCGCCAGGGGGCCCCGGCGGCAGATCCTAGAAATCCGCGCGGAGCGCCAGAAGTTTACGTTCATGCAGTTGTTTCTTCTTCGAGGGTTCTCTACTGCCCTCCCGACACAGTCCCTCGACCGACCGACCGACCGAGGAGCAGGAGGCGGAGCAGGGGCCCGGAGAGAGGAGGGCGCGGCCCACCGGCAGAGCCCGCCCCGCCCACGCCGCGGGCGCGCTGGACCGCGGCAGGCCGCCGCACCGCACGCCCACCGGGCGGCCGCCCAGCCTCGGGGGGGTCCAAGAGGGGGGCGTCCAAGAGTGGGGGGGAGGAGGAGGAGTGGGAGGAGAAGGAGGAAGGAGGAGGAGGAGGAGGAGGAGGAGAGGAGGAGGAGGAGGAGGAAGAGGAGGAGGAGGAGGAGGAAGGAGGAGAGAGGAGGAGGAGGAGGAGGAGGAAGAGGGAGGAGGAGAAGAGGGAGAAGGAGGAGGAGGAGGAGGAGGAGGAGGAGGGGGAGGAGGAGGAGGAGGGGAGAGGAGGGAAGAGGGGGAGGAGGAGGAGGAGGAGGGAGGAGGAGGAGGAGGAGGAGGGGAGGAGGAGGAGAGAGGAGGGGGAGGAGGGGGAGGAGGAAGAGGGGAGGAGGGGAGGAGGAGGAGGAGGGAGGAGGAGGAGGAGGAGGAGGAGGAGGAGGAGGGGCGAGGGCGAGGGCGAGGGCGAGGAGGGGGAGGGGGAGGGCGAGGGCGAGGAGGAGGAGGAGGAGGAGGAGGAGGAGGAGGAGGAGGAGTGAGTGGTCCAGGGCGGGGGGCTGGCAGAGGGGGGGGGCGCAAATCATGGCTGGCGGCGCGTGCGCGGTCCAGGGAGGGAGGGGGGCTGGCAAGAGGCGTGTTGAGACGAGAGGAGGCGGTATGAAATCTGGGGAGATCTCATGGCCCCCGCCACGAAATCCACCACCCCATGACTAACGTTGAAAAGTCTTTCGAATACCCACCCCAGGGGGTAAATAATCACTTGTTCAGCGGCCTTTCTCAAGAGCGCCCCAAGAAGACTCCAAGAGACACCCGAAAGGCACCCCAGAGGCCCCCGAGCGGCTTCCGAGAGCCCAAGATGACCTCCAAGATGGCTCAGATAGCCCAAGCTGGCTCAAGATGGCTCCCACGATGCTCCAAGCGGCCCCAATACCGCTCCAAGACGGCTCGAGATGGCCACGGAGCCTCCCAAGCCTCCCTCGCTGCTTGACTATGCGTGTCTCTTCCACTCTCCCCCCGTCAAATCTCATGGACATCGTTTCAAGATGGGCTGGTGGGGACACTTTTTGTACGCGGGCGCGCGAAACGAGTCGCACGCGGTGCAAGCGGCTGGTGGGGATACGCAAAGCGTCAAGAATTTGTTTGTTTTTTTCCGCGGTACCCGCCGCGCAACAACGACGACGGCAGCTACGACTACGAGGAGGAGCAGGAGGAGGAGGAAAAGGAGGAAAAGGAGGAAAAGGAGGAGGAGGGAGGAGGGAGGAGGAGGCTTTAGGACCAGCCCAGCTAACCGCCGAGAGAAAAGAAGCGGGGGGGGGCGAGGGGGGACGACCCAAACCAGAGAGATCTTCAGCGGTGAGTCATCACCCCCCTCTTGGCCGCCCCTGACATCGGGGGCGGCCAAGAGTGGGGTGACCAAGGGGGAAGGGGGAAGCGCAAATCATGGCCGGCGGCATGTGCGCGGCCCAGGGGGAGGGCCGGGCCCGTAACGAAATAAGAAGAGGCGCCATGAAATCTGAGGAGATATCATGACCCACGGCGTGATCTCCCCCCCCTAGCCATCACCCCCCTCTTGTCGGGCGTTGGCAGAACTGGGTTTAGTGGAACCTGGTTTAGTGATTTGTACCGGGGGCGCCCCCCCGTCCCATGTCCACTGACCGGAAATGCCGTCACCCGAGAAAGCACCAGCTGTGGCAACCTGGTTTAGTGACTCTGGCCCATTTGGGAGCTCCAGGGCCCTACCACTAATCGGGCCCCCTTACCCGGGGTCCTGGCTATACCCGATCTCTCGCCATCGCTCGGACGCCCACTTCCCGTGCATTTTTCGGTTTCGTGCGTGTTGTTTTTGCTCGATGGTCCAGGATCTTCCTCAATGGTTTGGTCCTCGCCGAGAAAAAAATGCACACGCCCGAGCGATGCCAAGATTTTGGCCGCTCCCGACAGCCAGCGCCGCTGGCCGGCCCGGAGCTCCGCCGGGCCGCCCAGGGCCCGCGCCAGGCGCGCCACGCGCGGCCCGCACGCCGCCGCCATCGCGCGCAGTGCCGCGGCGGGAGGCGCGCGGCCGCGCGCGCGCCCCGCGCAGGTCGGGGGCTCGGCGCCCGGGCCGAGGAGTGCAGTGCCCTGGCGGACGGAGGCCTGCCCGCCACCGCGCCCTTCCCTCCCTCCTCCTCCTCCTCCTCCTCCTCATCCTCCTCCCCCTCCTCCTCCCCCTCCCTCCCCCTCCTCCTCCTCCCGCCGTCCTCCTCCTCTCTCCTCTCCTCCTCCTCCTCCTCATCCTCCCTCTCCTCCTCCTCCTCCTCTCCCTCCTCCCCCTCCCCCCTCCCCCTCCTCCCCTCCTCCTCCTCCTCCCCTCCTCCCTCCTCCTCTCTCCTCCTCCTCCTCCCCCTCCTCCTCCCCTCCTCCCTCCCCTCCCTCCTCCTTCCCCTCCCTCCCTCCTCCTCCTCCTCCCTCCCCCCTCCCCTCCCCCTCCCTCCTCCCTCCTCCGAGTCGTGAGACAGCTCACGGCGGAGGGCTTCGGCGCCAGCTGTCTAGCAGGCACGGATCTCGGGATTCCCCATGTGTGCCCATCTCTTCTTCTGGGGCTCCGTCTTCCCCTTCACCACTCCCCATAATTAGTTTCCAATGCTTTCTGGGGGATCGACGATCATTTGTGTCTGTGTGCTGTTTCCCTTCCTGAACCACTACTCGCAGAAGTCACTACTCGCGAATGCAAACGGTCTGGATCCGCCGCGCGGGGTCAGCGCTCCATTGCACCGAGGCAAACGTGTGGCGGGTGCCAGGAGCCCTGAATCCAAATGTGGTCGTCCCTTGGAAGGTCGACCGTTGCTTCCGCCGGCGTCCGACGAGCTTCCGCCGCCTTCCGCAGGCGGAGCCGCCGCAGTTTTATTTCCGCCGCCTTCCGCCGACATTCCGCCGCGGAACAGATGACAACTCCTCCGATCCTCGAAAACAAAACATGTAGGGAGCCCACCAAAGGCGTACGCGCCCGACCATGTACATGAATACGGCCCCCCAGTCCGCGACACCAGCCTAGTGGTACGAACGTTCGCGCAGTGCGTACTTCCGAAACCAACGAGGATTCATCTACGTGTACGTGGTTCTTTCGCTCTTGAGTCTACGACCCATGACATCGAGGCAAACCTGTGTTCTGTCGGACATTTGCGAGTAGGCACTTTGCGAGTAATGCAACGCGCACTCCGTGACTACTGCAGGAGAGCCTAGAATCGAACCGATGAGTCGGATCGGCAATCCACATGAATCGGATCGGAGGAACTCGGCAGCCGAGCCCTGAAACATCGAATCGGCGTAAATCGGAAGGCCGGTATGCCTCCAACAGGAAATCGGAGCCCAAATCGGAATCCGAAGTCGCATCGAATCGGAGTCGGAACCCCATCGAAATCGAAAACTGAATCGAGTCGGAGGGATCGAAGTGACTCCTGCCGGAGGCGCTCGGGGCGGGAGGCCCCCCTCTGGGCCCGTGCGACCACGGCTCGGGACGGGAGGCCCGTCCTGGTGACGGACTTGTTTTCCACCACCACCACCACCACCACCACCATAAGTTGGCGGGGAAGGGCCCCTCCTCCTCCTCCGTCCTCCTCCTCCTCCTCCTCCTCTCCGTCCTCCTCCTCCTCGTCCTCCTCCAGCTTATGGTGGTGGTGGCGAGCCCCGTCGCGGCCGAGCATCCCGGCGCCCGACACGCACCCCTCGGTCGTCCCGGGGTCCTCCCCTGCCGCACGCCTCCTGGCTCTGGGGGGCGCGTCCCTCCGACTTCCTCCTCCGAGCGGCGTCCGCCTCCTCCTACTGCCCGAGGCGGAGGGAGGCCGCCTCCTCCTTCTCCTCCCTCCCTCCCTCCCTCCCTCCCTCCCTCCCTGTCTCCCCGCCTATGGATAACAGTTTGTTGTATGTGTTGTTTCTTTCTTGTTGTGCTCTTGTTTATTGCCTAGGGGTAACACTTGGGGCCACCTCCGCAAAGGAAAAGGCGCATCGTTGAGCGGTGTTGCGCCCCCCCGCCCCCCGGAGCAGCAGCCCAGCGTCGGTCTCGCGCGAGCCTGAGACAGTTGGAAGCGGTGGACCAGTCTGTCGACGGAGCCTGCCACGGCTCCCTCCTCCTTCGCCTCCCCAATCGCCGCCCTCGTCCTTGCCGCGGCCCCCGAACGTGGCGGCCGGTGTTGCTGTTTCAGCCTGCGGGCCCCAGAGGTCACGGCCCCTTCCTCCCCTATCAGGTAACTTGCCACCGCAGGTCAAGTGCTGATGGTCCTGCAGCTTGGTTCGAGCGCGCCCCAGGGTCCGAAACTGTGGAAGTACGCTGGGATTGAAGAAATCAGTCCATGGGAACTCTGGGTCGTCACGCCGTCGCCGATCAACCGTAATATTAGGTCGGGCGTGTCCTCCTACAGGCGGATTTTGAGGAAAAAATGAAAACATACAGAAATATACATTTATTTCCTGTGAATCAATCGTCACCAGACTATGTTCTGACAATGTTTCAATATTCCTCCTGTACAGGGGCACGCACGACATAACAATAATACCCTGAGAACTTATCGCGGGAGCCCTCCCGGGGTCCTTTCTGGCCAGTGCTCCGAGCCGCGCCTGGCCGTGGCGACAAAGACCTCCCGAGGCCATCGGCATCGTCGCCGCCTTCGGAAACCGGTCGAAATAGCCAGCGCCCATCGGGGATCTACTGACCCGGGTCACTGAAAAACTCGGGTCAGTCAGGCCTCGAAGGCTCCCCCATGATCCTGCAGGATCCTGCGCGCGCTAGCCCGGGTCAGTGCACCCCTGGCTCTGCATGATGCTGCAAGATCCGGCGCTCTGACTGACCCCCTTTGCGTTGACCCCCGCCTCAATGCTCCCGAGTCCATCCTGACCAGTTTGAAGGGGCCCTGGGACACACAAATAAATAGACACAAATAACAGGATTCCCCATACTTTTCAATATTTCCTGGGTTTTCGTCTTCCCCCCCCACTTCCCATATGTTCCCATATTTTGTGGGGAATCGACGATTAATTGTGTCTGTGTGTTTCTTTCCCTCCTGAGTTCTCCCGTCCCAGATCGATCTCGGACGGCCCCGGCCGGGGCCCTGAAGACGACGGCCCCCGGGGCGGCGGAGGCCGAGGACAAGACACGATCGAGCATCGAGTGTCGAGGACGGCCGTCACCGCCGTCGGCACTCTCGGGTCGGATGAGAAGGGAGGATAATGCATGGGGGGTTAGCGTTATGATGCTCCCACCGTACGGTTAAGGACCGCATCCCAGAAGTAATGTCGAGCACCCAGAAAAATATCGAAACAGTGTCGAACGAGTATCGCCTCCCAGAGCCAGACACGTGACCCCCCCCCCAATGTCGGCACTTTCTTGGTGCTCGAAATTCCTAGTGATCAAAGCAAAAAGAGGTTGGAACAGCAGAAGGTTCGCGAATTAGCTCATGCTGGCATTCCGGGCACCTCCCCGCGCCAGTGCATCCGAGGAAGGCGCCCCCGGCGGCACGGCCGAGACCAACTGCATATGCAGCAACTTCCTCCCTCCCCCCTGCCCCCGCATCTGGGGCAGGGGGAAGAACGAGGGGGAGGAGGAGGAGGAGGAGGAGGAGGAGGAGGAGGAGGAGGAGGAGGAGGAGCAGGAGGAGGAGGAGGAGGAGGAGGGGGAGGAGAAGGAGGTGAAGAGGAGGAAGTGAGTACCCACTGCAATTCGCCCCCCCCCCCCCCCCCCCCCCTCCCCTCTCGGCCAAGTGCGCTCAAGAGTAACCCCGGGCAAGAGGTGACCTTTGATTCGCGTGTGGCCGACTCTCTCGCCCGACCCCGCCCTCGCGCGGCCAGGCCCCCAAGATACTCGTCCGATGTGACATGTTCAGTCCGCGGCGCCCAGCTGTCTCGACCCCTTCGTTGGGGCCTGCTCTCCCCCCCGGATCCATGCCTGATGGCCCTGCAGCCCCGATGGCAGGCCCCTGACGCTGAAGCGCATGCAGATTGAGCAGCTCAGATCGTCGGAGATGTGTGAAGGGGCCTCAGGACACACAAATAAATACACACTAATAAAAACATCCCCGTATTTTCCTGTATTTTCTCGGTCTTTGTCTTCCCCCCACTTCCCATATTTTCCTATATTTTCCTGGGAATCGACGATTAATTGTGTCTGTGTGTTTTTTCCCCACCTGAATGTGGCGGTGCAGCTTCGGGCTGCGCACAGACAGCCCGCCCAGGCAGCCCGGGCTGGACTCAACAGGCCGCCCCGCGCAGTCTCACTCAACAGGCCCCCCGAGCCGCCCCGGCGGTCTCGACACCATGGCGCCGCCCCAGGCTTGAGGTCCTGAGACCGCCTCGGGCTACTCGGGGGGCCTGCCGAGGCCGGCCGGGCCAACTGTGACTACTCGGGGGCGCCTGTTGAGGCCAGCGGGGACCACCTGAGCGGGCCGTCTGTGCGCAGCCCGACGCCTTGCCAAGAGCTGGGTCCCTTGTCCCTGGGGAAACCACGAGGTACCGATACCGCTACTCCCTGAACCTCTCCCGGGGTGCCTTCTGACCAGAAATTCGAAGCGAATCCGGCGGTGGCGACGAGGGCTACCCGGGGAGGCCCAAAAAGGGGATAACGGGCGGGGGGTAAGGGTATTTGGCTACCTTTTCCTCCTCTGGGTCCCGACCCAGGCCCCGCGGCTGGGCCTTCTTCGTCTCGACGACCTTCGGCTCGTCCTGCCCTCCGGCGGGCGTCTCGACCGCGGGGCCGGGCAGGGTAGCGGAGAAGCCGCGGGGCTGCTGCTGCGTCGGGGCGGCAGCCTCGATCCAAGGTGGGGTGGGGAAGGGAGGAGGAGGAGGAGGAGGAGGAGGAGGAGGAGGAAGAGGAGGAGATGGAGAGGAAGGAGGAGGAAGGATGAGGCGGAGCGAGGGGGAGGGGAGGGATGGGGAGGGATGTGGGGGAAGGAGGGAGGTCAGTGAAGCTGCAGGCTACGCACAGACAGCCCGCTTGAGCAGTTCCAGCTGGCCTCAGCAGGCCCCCCGAAGAGTTCAAGCTGGTCTCAGCAGGCCCTCAGAGCAGTCCGGGGCGGTCTCAACAACAACGCCGTGCGGTGACAGACCCAGGGGAGACCTCGACATCCGCAAAGACCTCACCGAAGGGTCCGTCACTGCACGGCCTTGAGATCTCAGAGACCCCTGTCGCCCGAGACGTCCTCGGAGAACGGCCCAAGATCCCAAAACCGTGCGGTGACCCCGCATCCCCACGGACTCACCACACGGTGTGGTCACCATTCCGTTCAGCAAGGGGGAAGCGGGTCTTGAGAGAAACGGGTCCAGGACCCTGGGGCCTTTCCCCAGAACGAATTCTTCATCCTGAATCGTTTTCTGACGGTCCCGGGGCCCGTGGAGGGCCCCGAGAGCCCGAAGACGTTGAAAAACCTCGGGGCCTGCTAGGAAGGGTGTATCAGTACGGGGGCATGGGGGCGGCGAAGGAGGAGGTGAGCGGAAGACGAGGAAGAGGAGGGGGCACGGGGCAGGGAGAAGGGGACGGGCCAGGCGGGGGGGAGGAGAAACGGGAGGAGGGGGAGGGCAGGGAGAAAACGAATGACCACGAAGGAGAGCACGAACATTGGGCACGGGGAGGGAGATGCCACCTGTGCCGTTGCTCGGTCGTCGCTCACGCAGCCGCCCCCCCTGCGGGCGGCCTTCAAAACATCTCCTTGGGTCCTCGTCATCATCGCTGTCCTCGTCCTCGCCATGGTCGTCCTTTGCCTTCTCATCCTCGTTGAACGTCCTGCTTCCCCTCGTCCTCATCGGCGTCTTCCCTCCTCGTTCGCCCTCCCCCCACGGCTTCGTCCGCCCCAGCGCTGTCAGATCGTGCGCCGTGACCCGGAGCCGTGCGGGCCGTGTCTGCCCTCCGCGGTTTCCCGCTGGGCCCCGTGCTCGAAAACACTCTGAGCCATCTCGGGTTGCATTAAGGGGCCCAGGGGCACACAAATAGACACACGTAACAAGATTCCCCCATAGTTTTCCACATTTTCTGTGTTTTCGTCATCCCCCTCCCACTTCGCATATTTTCACTAATTTTCCTGGGAGTCGACGACTCGTTGAGTCTGTGCAATTGTTTCCCTCCTGGTACATGGACGCCAACGGAACCAGCAATCGTCCAGACACGAGTCCAAGTGCGGAACAAAAACACCCCTCCCACAAACTCAAACTTGCTGCGGTCCGCGCGGGGTGCTTGGCTCGGCGCTCGGCCCGCAGGGGGCAGCGCCGAGGGCGCCGACCAAAAGGGGGCCCAGCGCAGATCGAAGACATCCGCGCAGGCCTACGACCATGTCCGTTCACGCAGTGTTTGCGAAAGAGCCGAGCAACGGCCCTCATGGCAAGCACGGGGGCAAGCGAAGCCTGTCAGCAAACTGCCACAGAGAAGCCATCGAGCAGGACAAAGCTGCTCAAATACAAGAACGCCCGGGGACGCCAATCATCAGGGTCGAGGTGACTTCCTTCTCCCTTGATCCTTATCTCCTTGATTCCTGTCTCCTTGATCGCTGTCTCGAGGGGCTAGCAATCGTCTGGACACGAGTCCAAACCACCCTGGCCACAGGCCATCCCTCCCGGACAGCGGCGGCGGCGGCGGAGGAGGAGGACAGCGGCGGCGGCCTGCCTGACCGACGGGGACGTCCTTGCTGCCGCTGGCGGTCGCCTCGCCCTTGCCATCGGCGCCGTCGGCGTCGTCCTCGTCGCCGTCCTCCTCCTGGGCGGCGGGGGGGTCGGGCCCGCCGGTGCGGCGCGCGCCTGGCCGGGAGCAGGAGCTCGGCGATGCCGCGATGGCCGCTCACAGAAAGGCAGCTCCACTTGTGGATGCCACTACAATGGACACTCTAACCGTTCTATCAGTGAATTGAACTTTGAAATGTTTGACAAGTGTTCCAGACATGTAAGTTTAACATGGCTTACACATCTGGAAACTATTTGGCAACATGCTTCCTCTCCATTGATCGTCGTCCACAAGGCTCCAGGACACTCCTGGGCCCAGTGGGACCCCGGTGCGGCGCCACGAGGCCTGGCCGGCGCTGCTCCGCTGTCTTGGCCCACGAGACCCGACTGGGGGAAGCCTTCGTGTTGACGATCTCGCGAGCGGCTTCGAAGCCGATGACCACCCCCAGGCGGGTCAGGACCTCAACTCCCCATGTGCGGCTGGTCTGCCAGGAAATGCCCCCGCCCCCCCCCCCCCGCTCCCCCTCGGGGAGATCTACGACCGCCTCAAAATTATTCCGACGGTCGGACCCCACATGAAACCATTCAGATTGCCCGTCGCTATTTCCCTTCCCCTCCGTCTTGGCCGAAACCCCTCGTCTCGCCCGTTGTTGCGCCTCCTCCTCATCCTCGTTGTCTTCCTCGTCCTCCGTCCCCTCCTCCTGCTCGCCCTCCTTGTTCAATTTCTCCTCTTCCTCATCGTCCGTTTCCTCCTCCTCCTCCTCCTCCTCCTCCTCCTCCTCCTCCTCTTTCTCCTCCCCCCCTCTCAGCTCCATCCCGCCTGATCTCCTCATGCGCCTCTCCTTCCTCCTGGCAGGGGGGCGCATCCCGATGTTCCTCGGCGCGCTCGCCGCCGCGCCCAGTAGGGGCGCGTTCTCCGATGGCGAAATCGCGAAGACGTCGGGGCAACAGCCGTTGGGACAACCCCGCGAGCCGCTGGAGCGCGAGAGAAAACCGCTGGAGCCGATAAGTGACGACAGTTACAGGATCCCGACGACCCGCTCGGATTACCAACATGAAGCGCAAACCCCATAGGGAAGGGGCTCTCGCCTGAGACTTCCTCGCACTTCACTCACAAACGAAGCTCCCGCCTGAGACTTCATCCCGTAGTCAGTCCAGGGGACCCGCTCGGATAATCAACATGAAGTGCGGACCCGATAAGGAGGGGGCTCTCGCCTGAGACTTCCTCGCACTTCACTCACAGACGAAGCTCCCGCCTGAGACTTCCTCCATATTCATTCCCGAGGAGACAATAAAGACGACAGCACAGGATCCCGATGGCCCGATCGGATTACCAACATGAAGCGCGGACCCTATTGCGAGGGGGCTCCCGCATGAGACTTCCTCGCAATTCACTCACAAACGAAACTCCCGCCTGAGACTTCCTCCATATTCAGTCCAGAGGAGCTGAAACATGACGACAGTTACAGGATTCCAATTGCCCGCTCGGATTACAAATATGAAATACGGGCCACCTAAAGAAAAGGGTTTTCAAATGAGTCCTCCTCGCAATCACTCACAAACGTACATCCCGCCTGAGACTTCGCGGTATCCAACCCTGAGGAGCCGAAAAGCGACGACAGTTAAGGGATCCCGACGACCCGCTCAGATTACCAACGGTAAGTGCGGACCCCATAGGGAGGGGGCTCCCGAGTGAGACTTCCTCACAATTCACTTGCAGAAGAGGCGCATTTTTAGCCGATGATGACGATGGGAAGGTAATAGTGACGAATGTGTGATGGTTGGTGACGAATGTGGTGGTGGTGTTGGTGAGTTATGGGGAGTGGTGGTTGGTTGGTGATGATGGCGGATAATGCTGATGAGGTGGAAAAAACGTGTGTGCGTGATAGTGTGCTGATGACTATCAATGAGTGTGTGTGTGCTGATAATGATGATGATGATGATGATGATGATGATGATGATGATGATGATGATGATGATGATGATGATGGTACTGTTGATGATGAGTGCGGTAACCATTGTGCTGGCGATGATGATGAAGTGGCAGAGCGGGGGGAGATGGGAAATTCATCCAGGGCGGAAATGTACAGTCAAAACAAGACTCCCACTTATGATATGGGGGAAAATCACACATATCCGAAATCTAGATTTGGACACGCGACGAATTCATCGTCATCCTCTGGCTACTCGTGCTCCCCGACCATCCTCCTACTCCCAACTCCTTTTTCTCCGCAGCCCGTGCTCCATCCTCCTCGTCCTCCCCGCCACAAGTTCCCCTTTTTTCCACATCCTTGTTACCCTCCTCCTCCTCTGACCTGGTGGCCGAGCAGTGGCCGGCACAAATGTCACCTAACAGGACTGCAGAATCTGTTTTTTTGGGGGGGGCGGGAAGAGCACGCACCCATGTGTTTCTGGGGGCTTTGCCAAAACCTGGGCCTCAGCCTCCCCTTCAAAAGCCCGGTATGAGAGAGCGTGGGTGCGACGTAATTTGGGCACGAATGAAAGTCGGAGGGCGGGCGGGTTTGAGTGCGAGCGAATATGGGTGTGAATTGGTTTTTGTGTAACTGAATACGAGTTGGACCGAGTCTGAATAGGAGCGAGTACGTACGAAGGAATCCGAAACTGTTTTGATGTGTGCATGCAATAAGGTTGTGGACGTGATGGGCGTGCTTGGGTGAAGAGAACATGCAGATTTGTAAGTCCGAATGCGAATGACCGCGTATGATGGGGGAAACGGTAAGTGAGGAACGCGCGAGAAACCTGCCGCCCGCCCGAAACACAGGCACACCGCGCGAAACATCCCCACACTTTGGGCGCAAATCCCGAAAAAAACTACCAGCTGCGGTTCGGTTTTGGGGAGCCAAACTGTCACGCCCGCTATATCGCGGCGAACGCTGGACCAGCAAAGAAAAAACACGGGGGGCAACAACCAAATAACCGTTTTGGGCATCCCCAGAAATCCTGGGCATTTTGGACGCCCGAAATGGGCACGGAAAGAATGGGCACAATGCCCAACAGCAAATGTTGTCCCAAACCCACAGCGGCCGCTGTTGGGCAGGCGGCCTTCTGTCTCAAACGAACACAGGCCGCGGCGGCGCGGACAGCGAGTCCTGTCCAAAATGAACCAGAACTGCTGTCGGTCCTTCCTTTCCGTACTCATGTCGGGTGTCCCCATCCCTGGCGGTTCCACCTCGGGGTACCCGAATGCCACGCCTGCTACATCGCGGTCCGCGTTGGAACACAAACAGAAGCTCGTGATCAGATTAAGGCACCCCGTCCCCTCCCTGAGACATCTCCACAATTTGGGCGCGGATCCTGGGATCCCCACCCCTGGCGCCACCGCTTGGGTTGCCCAACTGCCACGCATCGTGTTTCACCGCCACAAAAACAAATGCGGACCATGAACAGGCGAACTGCTTGAGACATCCCCAGAATCTGGGCTCGAATGCTAAAGGTGCCCTCGCCCGCAATAGCACCTCGGGGCACCCACGTGCCACGCCTGCTGCATCGCGGCCAGCACTGAAACGCCAAAAAAGAAGAGCCGTAGTCAACATTGACATGCTTTTACATCACCGCGCGACAGAAGCAATCCGCACGCGCGCTCACGCGGTCTGGGCAACGGAAAGCGCAAGTTAACCGGCGGCAAGAGGGGAAGACACACGACAACGGCCGAAGAAGGAAGGAAGAAGGGGAGGGCACACACATGGCGAGGTGCGTCGCCGATGAGCGGCCGGGGCGGCCAGCCAATGCTGCACCCCTGGCAGCGGGCGCGGGGCGGCGTCACGGCCACACCCAAGGGCTGAAGCAAGGGGTGCACTGCACGAAAAGGACGAGGCACAGTACCGGTAAACGTTGAGACACCAGGAAAAATCGAAGAGGGCAGAAACAGGCGGGGCGCGAATCCTGGACTGTCCCCACCCCTGGCGGTTCCCCCTTGGGACCTTGGAGCACCCAAGTGCGATTTCTGGAATGTGCTTACCCCTGGCGGCTCCCCTGTGAGGTGCCCAAGTGCAAAGCCTGCTAAATCGCGGCCAGCACTAATTCACCACAAGAAACAATCTGGGGGGCAGAAACAGGCAAATCGCCTGTGACCGATCCACGATTTGGACGCGACTTCTGGAGTGTCCCCATTCCTGGCGGCTCCGCTGTGAGGTGCCCAAGTGCCACGCCTGTCGTATCGCGGTGAGCATTGAACCACCAGACAAATTTGAGCGAGTCTGAGTGTGGAGGAGTGTTTCGGAGTGAGGGAGCCTGCCTACGTACGGGTGAGAATGCGTCTGAGGCAATTTCCCTGAGTGGGCCTGAAGGAGTCTGAGTCCGAGTGGGTCTGAGTGGGGAAGTGGTGTAATTAGCTTAAGTGGCCCAGGGACGTACAAATAAATACCAACAAATACCAATGTTCCCTATATCTTCTCATATGTTCTGGATTTTCGTCTTCCCCCCCCACTTCCCACATTTGCCCATCTGTTCCTGGTGATCGACGAGAAATTGCATATGTGTGCGTTTTTCACTCCCGAGTAGCTGAGTCTGCGCGGGGGATGGTGAATATGTGATGGAACCAGCGAAGGAGACTGGGTTTGTCGGGTCTGTGATCGAAGCCAGAATGGGCGTCAGTGATCCGAACATGAAGATATAACTTAAATGAGGGTGAAGAAGAGGAAGAGGAGGAAAAATAGAAGGTCGAAGGAGGTCCGGGGGCGTCAAATTCAGTAGTTACAGGAACACCATCTTAGGATACTATTGGGGATTATTGTGGACCAAAACCGCTGAAGTGCCCAGTGCGTTCTTCAATCAAAGATCTCCTCTTGAGGCTCGCACTTTCTTAGAAGGGGAAATCTTGCGCCTCAGATTCTGTGGCTGGCCCTCGGTTCACAACAACAACAACGGCTCCCGCTTGATAGTTCCCCGCAATTCATTCACAATCGCATCCTCTCCTGGGACTTCCTCACCGACTATCCAAGAACCGCGCTCTCGTGGGGCACTTCCTCGCAACGTATCCCGGCGCCGCTCCTTCGACACTCAAAAATCATTGAGCAG